GCATAGCAGATTGCTCACTTCTCCCTTCCAAACTCCACTGAAATGGCAATAAAGGAATCCAGAATATATAAACTCATAAAGGGATAAAAGGAGGGAAGGGACGCACGTGGATGAGAGTCCTGCGGATGTTCGTAAGAGAGAGAGGAGCAGACACGGACTTGGCAGAACTGGGGATCGCTGCTGGCTCCCTGCAGACGAGGAAACTAACAAGCAGAAGGGGCTTGGTCTTGCACAACTCCAGATGCTGAGGACGGGGAGATCCAAATCTACAGAAGGTGTGCATGAGGCACGGGACTAAAAACAGGGGGGCTAAGTGGCCTGTATAGCGGAAGGATGTGCCCCCTTCCTCCTCCTACAGCAGGCACACCCCAGCTATCCACCCACTCATCGCATCCCTCCCCACCCCCACTGCCAGCAGGAGACATGACATCTTCTCCCTGGATAACTGAATGGCTCCAGAGAAAAGACCTCCACCTTCTGACATCTTGGAGTCCTGCTCCAGTTTGAAAGCCAGTTTGGGCTGGGCGTGGTGGCTCGTGCCTGCAATCCCAGCACTTTGGGAGGCTGAGGCAGGTGGATCCCCTGAGGTCACGAGTTCAAAACCAGCCTGACCAACAGGGTGAAACCCCATCTCTACTAAAAAAAGAAAGAAAGAAAGAAAAAAAACAAAGTTAGCTGGGCATGGTGGCACATGCCTGTAATCCCAGCTACTTGGGAGGCTGAGGCAGGAGAATCACTTGAACTGGGGAGGCAGAGGTTGCAGTGAACCAAGATTGTGCCATTGCACTCCAGCCTGGGCAGCAAGAGGGAAACTCCATCTCAAAGAAAGAAAGAAGGAAAGAAAGAAAGGAAGGAAAGAGGAAGAGAGAAACAGAGGAAGGGAAGGAGAGAGGAAGGAAGGAAGGAAAGAAAGAAGGAAAAGCCAGTTTGCTGTCTGGCAACCTTGTCAAAAATCCTTCTAAGGACAAGCCTCATCCAGTCCCTCAGAGTCCCCCTTTACGTTTTCAGCGGGTCACACTTAGACAAGAACAGGCCGCCCAGGATCACCTGATATTTAAAGACAGCCTCCAACTTGGAAGAGAGGCATCCAGACAAATAGGAAAAAGGAATTTGGAGAAAGCAGAGATGCTGGAAGGAGTAGAAACAAAAAGTGAAAAACATTTGATGAGTCATTTCTTCGGAAAAGTAAACTAAGATGTTCTAGCCATTTAACAGGAGTGAAATGCTTTATTCTCTTTCTTGGATGTGACTTTTAAAGGAATTAACGAGAAAACAAAAATGAAATTTTGGAAAGTGTTCAAAAGAAGAGTCAGAATGAAATATGTAAAAACAAGTTTGGTGGAAGATAAAGTAGAACAAAAATACACAGAGATTTAAAAGCAATAATAACTGAAGAAATATAAGAATGAGGACCACTCTGGGAAGTCCAGTTTCCAGCTAATAGGAATGCCGTGAGGGGAAAACAGGGGAGAGAGAGTGAGAGGAAAAACAATACCACTCCCCCAAATTGGAAGATGTGAGGCCGGGCGTGGTGGCTCACGCCAGTAATCCAAGCACTTTGGAGGCTGGATCACCTGAGGTCAGGAGTTCAAGACCAGCCTGACCAACATGGTGAAACCCCATCTTTAAAAAAAAAAAAAAGAAAAGAAAAAAAGATGTGAGTCTCCAGATTGAGAGGCCCGACTAAATGCCCACACTAAGGTGCATCATCACAAACTTCAGAAAACCCAGAATAAAGAAAATATTTCTAAAACTCCCTGAAGGAAAAAGGAAAAAAACATACAGAGGTTCAGGTATCAGCCTTGGACTTCTAAATAGCTGCACTAAAAGTTAGAGAACAATGACTTCAAGCTTCTGTGTGAAAATGATTTTGAGTCAAGAATGCTTGTAACCAGATGATCAATGAGGTAGGTAGGTGGAATCAAAGCATCTGATATACCTCACACGGGTATCCCCTCTTAAGTAGCTGCTGCAAGATGCGCACCAACAAAATGAGGAAGTAAACTAAGAAAAAGAACGTGGAACTAGAAGTCATGGGATTCAATGCTGGACAGCAGTGAAGACAAATGCCAGGATAATAGTGGCTAGGCAGCAACCAGTCCAGAGGGGAGCAGGATGGCAGGCACTAGGAGTGACACACCCCAGGAATCAAAGAAAATGGCACGTTTGAGGTTATGGAAAATAGGCTCCAGAAACATAAAAGCACTTGGGGAAAAAATTAGCAATTGCCACACAGAATAGTAGCAAATGACAAACAAAAAGTAACGATTAATTCCAGGAACTAAATGAAGAGAATGGCTCATGCAAAGGGCCTGAGGTAGAAGTGAGCCTCATGCATTCAGGGACTAGCAAGGAGAGTGGGGCTGCCGCAGAACTGGAGAGGGGGGGAGACTAGGCAATGAGCTCAGAGAGACAAGAAGGGCCAGGACGTTGTGAGGACTCAGCCATTTACTCTGAGCAAGATGGGAGCTGCTGCAGTGTTTTGTGCAGAAGAGCAACATGATCTGACTTACATGTTGGCAAGATAATTCTGCCTGTGTGCTGAGAACAAATGGTAGGAGGGAATCTGTGGAAGTAGGATGCTTTTGCAGTCAGAAGGCCACTGCGGTGATCCAGGTGAAAGACAATACTCATGGCCCCATTGGATGATGGTGGCTTAGACCAGGGTGGAAGCATTGGAGGTTACAGGGATTCATTCATGGTGGTGGAAAATTATTAAGGGAAAGTATTAGAGAAAGTTACAGAATATAGTCTCAAACTCTAATGGAAGGCCTAAGGGTTTCTTCTATAGTTCTTGGCTGAAGGGAGCTAGAGTCTCTTTGCAGGAGCTGGAGAGATTAGGGTGCAAATACAAAGGACTCTGAGTGGTTTACCTAGCTAGCTTGTTTGCTCATGTGGTCCTATAAAAGTAACCTTTGTGGGGTTTTTTGTTTTTGTTTTTGAGACAAAGTCTTGCTCTGTCACCAGGCTGGAGTGCAGTAGTGCAATCTCGGCCCACTGCAACCTCCACCTCCTGGGTTCAAGCAATTCTCCTGCCTCAGCCTCCTGAGTAGCTGGGACCACAGGTGTGTGCCACTATGCCTGGCTAATTTTTGTATTTTTAGTAGAGATGGGGTTTCACCATGCTGGCCAGGATGGTCTCGATCTCTTGACCTCATGATCTGCCCACCTCAGCCTCCCAAAGTGCTGAAATTACAGTTGTGAGCCAGCGTGCCCGGCCTAAAATTAACCTTTGATCATTGCATATGGCTCTCTCCAGGGGAGGCTGACCAAGGATATTACCCACTAATGGTGTCTGCTTTAGGCATCAGAACCTGTCCTTTAATCTTTAACCTCCAGTGGTGTTGACTCCAGCCTTTGTCAATTAAACTGTACTGAATAAATGCGAGTCTCATTAGCTGGTGAGGGCCAGTGATCACAACTGTCTACAGCACTCTCCAAGGTGTCTGTAAGCAGCCACAGACACTCAGCCAAACTGGCAAAGCATAGTATCTGTGTGTCAGTACACTTTATTCATCCATCACTGAGTCAAGGTCTGCAGGACAGGCCCTCACAAGTAGTAACTCCAACAGGAGGTAGTGAGAAGCAACTGGATTTTGGATATTTTGAAGGCAGAGCCAAATATTCCTTATAGAATGAGAGCTATGAAAGAAAGAGAAATTAAAGACAGCCTGAGCAACCGGAGGGATGAAGTTGTGGTTAAATGAGGTGAGACCACAATTGGAACCATGTTCCCATCACCTGCTGCTGACCTAAACTTACAGACGTAAAGCAACAATCATTGATTATTATTAGCTCTGACAACCCTGGCAGTTAACTGGCTCAGCTAGGCAGGTCTCGCTCCATGGTTAGGGCTAGAGTTAATTCAAAGGCCTCCTTGCTCATATGTCTGATTCCTCTACTAGAAGATTCTTAGAGCTCAGGGATGGACTGGCAGGGGCTCCTTGGGGCTCTCTCTCTATGTTCTCTGGACAGGATCTCTCCAGCATGGTGGCTTCAGAAAAGCCAGGCTTCCTGCATGGTGGTCCAGAGCTCCAAAGGTGTAGGTCCTAAGAATGAGAGGGAAGCTGTATCTCGCTGTACAACCTGTGTCAGAAGCAACACAGCGTCATTTCAATGGCATTCTGTTCCTTAGAGCTGGGTCACCATGTGCAAGCGGGGAGGGAATCAGATTCCTCGTCTTGATGAGACGAGAATCCAAGAATCTGAGATATGTTTTCAAACCACCACAGCAGGTTTTGAGGAGACCATAAGAGTTGAGGAACATTTCGAGTTAAATATTATTTGCATAGTCATTATAAACACTATCAATTTAACCAAAGTTGTGATATGACCACATTGTGGGAAGACTGAGCAGCTGAAGTGACAGGGTCATTGGGACAGGCAGGGCCTGGTTCCCACTCTCCGCCATAACGGGCGCGTATGAAGAAAGAATTAAGAAAGAAAAGAACGGCGACATCAGTCAGAAATCTGGGGATAAACGCAAAGTGAAATACACAGAAGTAAGGATTGTTCCCTCTCAGGAGCAAGATGGGGTGAGGAGGATGGTGGGGCAGGGGATTTGTGTTTTTCAATATGGCTCTTAGTACCATTTGACTTTTTTCTTTTTTTTTGAGACAGAGTCTCGCTCTGTTGCCCAGGCTGGAGTGCAGTGGTGTGATCTCAGCCCACTGCAACCTCCACCTCCAGGGTTCAAGTGATTCTTGTGCTTCAGCATCCTGAGTAGCTGGGATTACAGGTGCCTGCCATCAAGCCTGGCTAATTTTTATATTTTTAGTAAAAACAGGGTTTCACCATGCTGGCCAGGCCCGTCTCGAAGTCCTGACCTCAGGTGATCCGCCCCCTCAGCCTACCAAAGTACTAGGGTTACAGGCATGAGCCACTGTGCCTGGCCTCCATTTGACTTTTAAATTTATGTACATGTATTACTCCGGTAAAATAACTGTTTTAAAAGGATGTAAATTTCATTTCTGTAAAATTGATGTTAAAATGATAGAAAAATGCTTCCTTCAGCAGCACATATACTAAAATTGCAATGATACGGAGATTAGCATAGCCCCGAGCAAGGATGATACGTGAATTCGTGAAGCCTTCCATATATCTTTTATGTAAAAATAAATTTTTTTAACTCAAAAGTTTTAAAACTGAGAGAAAAAAAAAATGCCCCAATCTGGGCAACATAGTGAGATCCCATCTCTAAAAAATAAAAATTAAAGAATTTGCTGGGCATGGTGGTGAGCGTCTGTAATCCCAGCTACTCAGGAGGCTACAGTGAGAGGACTGCCTGAGTCCTGGAGTTCGAGGTTGCAGTGAGCCATAATTGAACAATTGCTCTCAATCTGGACTACAAAACTAGGCCTCGTCTCTCTTTTTTTTTTTTTTTTTTTTTTTTTTGAGACGGAGTTTCACTCTTGTTACCCAGGCTGGAGTACAATGTCGCGATCTCGGCTCACCGCAACCTCCGCCTCCTGGGTTCAAGCAATTCTCCTGCCTCAGCCTCCTGAGTAGCTGGGATTACAGGCACACGCCACCATGCCCAGCTAATTTTTTGTATTTTTAGTAGAGACGGGGTTTCACCATGTTGACCAGGATGGTTTCGATCTCTTGACCTTGTGATCCACCCGCCTCGGCCTCCCAAAGTGCTGGGATTACAGGCTTGAGCCACCGCGCCCGGCCTTCGTCTCTTAAAAAATAAAAACTAAGGCCGGGCGCAGTGCCTCATGCCTGTAATCCCAGCATTTTGGGAAGCCAAGGCAGGTGGATCATCTGAGGCAAGGAGTTCAAGACCAGCCTGGCCAACATGGTAAAACCCCGTCTCTACTAAATATAGCAAAAAAAAAAAAAAAATAGCCAGATGTGGTGGTGGGTGCCTGTAGTCCCAGCTACTTGGGAGGCTCAGAGAGAAGAATCGCTTGAACCCAGGAGGCGGAGGTTGCAGTGAGCTGAGATAGCACCATTGCACTCCAGCCTGGGCCGCAAGAGCAAAACTCCATCTCAATAAATAAATAAAACTTTTAAAAATAGTGGGGTGTGGTGTGGCTCACGTCTGTAATTTCAGGCAGATCACGAGGTCAGGAGTTTAAGACCAGCCTGGCCAATATGGTGAAACCCCATCTCTACTAAAAATACAAAAATTAGGTAGATGTGGTGATGTATGCCTGTCATCCCAGCCACTCAGGAGACTGAGGCCGGAGAATCACTTGAACCCGGGGGGCAGAGGTTGCAGTGAGCCAAGATCGCTCCGTTGCACTCCAGCCTGGGTGACAGAGCAAGACTCCATCTCAAAAAATAAATAAATAAGTAAATAAAAATTAAAAAGTTAAAAAAACTTTAAAAAGCCGCATCCCTATGGCAAGTGCAATTTTAGGAAAGACTCCAGCCCAGTCCCTTTCCCCTCTGTGCCTTCCCCTGGTGTCTCTGGCCCCAAAGAGCACTCAGACTCACATGATTGATCGGCCTGGTGCTCTCCCACCAAGGACCATTGCGGCTCCCCAAGTCTCCGATGCCCACCACCCTCCTCCTGATCCTTTGGGGCTCATGCCCATTGCAAAGGAGAAAACTGGCTAAGTGAGTTCCCATGTTCATTAAAAGGTGGATGAGAAGCCAGACCTCCCGGCTGACGGTTCAATGGTGTCTCCAGGATAAAAATGATAGTTGCCGTCACTGAAGATGATCTGGCAGGTGGCATGGGGGACAGAGGTGGGGGGAACATTCCTGGAAGGGAAGTCCATCCCTCTAAATTAAGTGCATTAATTTTCCCGAATAAAGACGCGCCTGTCATGAAATCCACTGCCTGGAAGAGATATTTGACACAGCTGTGATGGGCCCTGGCTGGAAATACTCTATTTCCCCTTAGTCACCCTCCTCGGGGCAGGGTAAGCCTGCGGGCTAAAGGAACAGAGAAGCAAACTGATCTGTGGAATGAAATTCCCCGGCTCACAGGAAAACTGCAGTGAGGGGAGCAGGGAGCAGGGGACAAGGTTCTCAGCAGAACTTCGGGTTTTCTGTTGCCCTCAGGGCGGTCGGGGGTGTGGGAATCTGGGATGTAGAAAATCAGTCCCAAGTAGGGGGTGGGCCCGATAGAGAAACCCAACCCGGGAGGCAAGGTCATTGTCATCACCGTTAACCCTCTGCAGACCAGAAGCCACCAGTACAGCCAACTAACCGTGATTATTATTGTATTTATGAGAACCCTTGTGTTTGTCAAAGCTCTTATTAGAATGTTTTAAGTGGCCTGGAAGGTGATGTTCCCCCAGTTTGCCAACGTGCAATGCCATGGTAACCGTGAGGGTGGAGCGGTTTTCACGGGCAGGCACGACAGCCTGCCATGGTCAGGTACACAGAAGCCCCTGAGGCCCGGGATGGCAGAGGGGACAGACACGAACAGAATCCCTCTGTGCCCCGAGGCTGCTCACATCGGACCCACAGCCCCCAGTGGCTGAGGTGCCTGCATTTTCCTCCGCAGCAGGAGCCGTGGTTTGCGCCCTCGTTCTGCCACGCCGCGTGGTTAATCCAGTTCCCTTAACGGCACCAGGGTGCAAGCGCTGCGTCTCATGAATTGGAAGGTGCAGCCCCATCAACACTGTGGGTTCCGAAGCGAGTGGAGGGGGAGGCGTGGTTGGCTTCTCCCTGGGTGGCCTTGCGTTTTGACAAACAACAGCAGGTCCTTTCGGGGTCTCTGGCCCAGCATCTCAGCACATCTCTGTTGTAACCTGAATTTGATTTTCTGTTTTTTTGTTTGTTTGTTTGTTTGTTTGTTTTCAGTCTCATGCTAGTGATTGAAGGGAATGAGACTGTGATCTCCCTCATGACACTAATAAATATCCCTCATCCAAGGCGGTGACACTGTACTTTGGGGCTGAAATCTGAAACTTAACCAATGGCAGTTCTGGCCCAGCCTGGAGAGGCTAAGTGACAGCTTGTTATCTTCAGCTTCGTTTATTAACATCAGCTGAATAAACAAATCCCTATGGGATCATAGCCCTGCTCCCCAGGAACCCCTCCCACTGGTTCTCAAAACTCTCTGCTGATTGAAGAGTTTTGAATTGAAGCCATCTTGAATAAGAAGGTACCACTGGAAGGAAATTCAATGGCAGCTGAGTGATTCTGAAAGTGAAGTAAGCACTTCACCTTCAGGAAGACGGGCGGAACCACTCATTCTTTCATTCCATCCTTCCAGTATTTACTTGGCTCCAAACAACCTGTTGACTTGGCAGTCCAGGCCATCCATTAAAAAATACTGATGAAGGCTGGCCGTGGTGGCTCATGCCTGTAATCCCAGAAGTTTGGGAGGCCAAGGCAGGCGGATCATGAGGTCAGGAGCTCGAGACCATCTTGGCCAACATGGTGAAACCTCATCTCTACTAAAAATACAAAAATGAGCTGGGCGTGGTGGCGCGCACCTGTAGTCCCAGCTACTCAGGAGGCTGAGGTAGGAGAGTCGCTTGAACCCAGGAGGCGGAGGTCGCAGTGAGCTGAGATCCCACCATTGCACTCCAGCCTGGGCAACAAGAGTGAGACTCCGTCTCAAAAAAAAGAAAATATTGTGGAGCCCCTGCTAGGTCCAGTAGGGAAGCAGGCGCACACTCTGCCCTCAGGGAGCTTATAGTCTAGTGATAAAACAGGAGCCATGAGTGATGGGATGAAGTTCCTGTGCTCCCAGGAACAGAGATAACGGAAGGGTGTTGATGGCGGCCTCCCCAGGGAAGTGCTGTTTGGACTGAGAGACAATGTAGCCAGCATCTGAAGCCAGGTCTGCTCATTTCTGCTTGCCAGCGTAATTTCACAAAGCCCCTAGTTCTGTGACCACATACAGCTCTTCGAAAAGATGCTTTGAAGACAAAACAGGACAGAGCACACGGCCAGGGGAGGTGGTCCCCAAAGCCCCGTGAAGGAGCTGCTCACCCCAAGGACAACAGGCATCCAGTCAGTGGAGGGGGCGACATGATCAGATTTGCATGTTAACGTCATCCTGGTTCCAATGTGGACAACTGGTCAGAGAGGGGCGGCAGTGAAGGCCTGGAAGCCAGTTAAGGAGGCACTTGCTCTCATCCAAGTGAGACGGGACAGGAGCTCAGCCAGGCTACGGGCAGAGTGGGTGGAGAGCTCGGATGCGGACAGACAGAAATCTCTTATTTATTTATGTATTGTTTTTTATTTTATTTATTTATTTATTTTTGAGACGGAGTCTCACTCTGTCGCCCAGACTGGAGGGCAATGGTGCAGTCCAGCCTCACTGCAACCTCCGCCTCCCGGGTTCAAGCGATTCTCCTGCCTCAGCCTCCCAAATAGCTGGGATTACAGGCACCGGCCACCACGCTCAGCTAATTTTTGTATTTTTAGTAGACGCGGGGTTTCACTGTGTTGGCCAGGCTGCTCTCAAAGTCCTGACCTCGTGATCCGCCCACCTCGGCCTCCCAGAGTGCTGGGATTACAGACGTGAGCCACTGTACATGGCCCATTAATTTATTTTTTGAGAGACAGGATCTCACTTTGCTGCCCAGTCTGGAGCGCAATGGCGCAATTACAACTCACGGCAGCCTTGACCCGGGCTCAAGCAATCCTTCTGCCTCAGCCTCCCAAGTAGTTGGGACTACAGGTACATGCCACCATGCCTGGCTAATTTTTAAACTTTTTGTAGAGACGGGGTCTCACTATGTTGCCCAGGCTGGTCTTGAACTCCTGGCCTCAAGCAATCCTCCCAGCTTGGCCTCCCAATTTGCTGAGATTACAGATGTGAGCCACTGGGTCCAGCCTGGAAATCTTTCTAATACATAAAAAGTTATTGGCCGGGAGTGGTGGCTCACAGCTGTAATCTCAACACTTTGGGAGACTAAGGCAGGCAGATCACTTGAGGTCAGGAGTTTGAGAACAGCCTGGCCAACATGGTGAAATCCTGTCTCTACAGAAAATACAAAAATTAGCCGAGCATGGTGGTGCACACCTGTAGTCCCAGCTACTCAGGAGGCTGAGGCAGGAGAATTGCTTGAACCCAGAAGGCAGAGGCTGTTGTGAGCTAAGATCATGCCATTGCACTCCAGCCTGGGCAATGGGAGTGAGACTGTCATAGACACACACACACACACACACACACACACACACAC